TGAACTATTCAATGGCATGTTTAAATTCGATATGCCCCTCTTGTTTGTGACTGGGATGCCGAGGATCACAAAGCGGGTGTGAATTACCATGCAAATTCACATGGTGCTTCATTGTAACGATCACCTATTCGATGTGCCGGTAAACCACACACGCTCCATCGAACTATGATAAACAATGAATCACCCTTTGCCACCTTTGCTTAGAACCAATTAGTGTGCCGGTAAACCACACACGCTCCACTAACTTCTTAGCAAGGGTGCAAAGTGTAATTTCATGGGATTGCATCAATTCACTTTTCCTAAAGTAACTAAGATTGGGAAATTTTTAAAACGTGTAGTTACTTTGTATTTCTTATTATACTTTTAATGAGAGGATGAGGTTGCCCTATCCTACCCGTTCGGCTAACGACCCTCCACCAATCAAGCAAGCGGTGGGTGTGAGTGTACACCCATTAAGCGCCATTTTATAGGCCGCAACCTTATACCCACCTTATAGATCGGCTTCGTGAATGAGGCCTACTAACGGTAAGACTAGCATTTAGTATATATATATATATATATATATATATATATATATATATATATATATTATTCTAGTAATATCATATTAGTATAGGGTTGTATTTTAAACTTTTAAAACTAGGGTTTGAAATTTAAGTTGTCTAAATTAAAACTTTTAATCACAAATATAAATTTCAAAACTTAGGGGGTTTTAAACATTTAAAACATGGAGGATCAAATAACAAATAATTCCAATTAACAATTAATATCCTAATTATCTTTATTTGATTTATCCAAGATTTCTTTTAAGATAATTATCAAAATAATTAATCAATTATCATATAAGGAAATTAAATATTTTATTAGATGATAAATATCTTTAACTAGATCAAGATATAGTCATATATATCAAAAAATCAGATTAGTTGATCTATATGATTAAGGTAAGTTTCCATAAGATAAACATGAAAAAATCCCGAATTGGCCAATCCTGACGCCTGGACTCGCCGAGTACACAAAGGGACTCGCCGAGTCAGGCCTACTCGCCGAGTCCACTTGGAACTCGCCGAGTCCATGACCAAAACCCAAAAAATTGAATTTTGCAGGTTTGTTTCAGTTAATCAAGCAACAATTTAAAGAAAACCAAGCTAGGCTCTGATACCACTGATGGGTTTTAGCCATAAGAACTTTCCTGTGTGCGCATGCAAAACCCTAATGCTCGGATCTAGGCTTTCTAATTAAACATGCTTTGAATCCAAGACTTCTAATGGCTAATTAGGTTAAATAACAACATTGAAATAGATCTAGAACCATACCTTTGAATTCCTTGTTGATCTTGTTGTCTTGGAGCTTCTAGAGTCACAAATGTCACTCCTCTAATGGCTTACAAACACCAATAGCAAGCAAGATGATTTAGGAGAGAGGAGAGGGGAGGAATTTCGGCCAGAGTATCTCTACTTTAGATGGTGTGTCGAATTCCCTCACCCCTAGGGTCTATTTATACTTGTAGACTCCTTAAGGATTACAGCTTTAACCCTAATTGGATAACTTAGACTTTAAGTTGATCCATATCCTTTCCTTGATAACCCTATGGACGATTTTGGCTTATCCAAGCCCTAGAAATCGTCCATCCTATCATGGATAAGGATTTATAGTCTAAAGTGTAACTATCAAACAATTGACAGTTTATACCCTCTTATTTAATTAATCTCTTTAAGTCACCAAATTAATTCCAATTAATTTATGACTTATATTAATCAAATAACCATATATTATTCCTTATAATATTTACTCTCTTTAACAAATCATCAATCAAGTTGCTATGGTGAAGGCAACCCAAAAGGACCATGCACAACCGAGTCAAATACTTGCCTAATATAGTTGCAGCCTTAGACACTATTCCAACAGTTTACATGGCTTAGCCAGAGGGGTTTGTGAATCCGAAGCATCCAAATAGAGTGTGTAAGCTTGAGAAGTCCATTTATGGACTTAAGCAAGCGTCTCGCAGATGGAATCTTTGCTTCGATGAGAAAGTCAAAGAGTTTGGATTTGTACGAAGCGAAGTCGAATCTTGTGTATATGTCAAAGCCAGTGGGAGTATAGTAAGCTTCCTCGTTCTATATGTCGATGACATATTACTCATAGGAAATGACATCCCGACTCTGCAGGAAGTCAAGTCCTGGCTCGGGAAGTGTTTCGCTATGAAGGACCTCGGAGAGGCTTCTTACATTTTAGGAATAAGGATAGTAAGAGAAAGAAGTAAGAGACTAATTGGACTTAGTCAGAATACTTACTTAGAGAAGGTACTAAAACGTTTTAGTATGGAAAACTCAAAGAAGGGAGAACTACCGATACAAGGAAATGCCAAGTTGAGTAAGACTCAAAGTCCGAGTACCGAAGCTGAAATAGCTGAAATGAGCCGAATACCATATGCTTCCGCAGTTGGCTCAATCATGTACGCTATGACTTGTACTCGCCCCGGTGGAGCCTTTGCTTTGAGCATGGTTAGCAGATATCAAGGGAACCCTGGCAAAGCACATTGGATTGCGGTGAAGAACATCCTTAAGTACCTTCGGAGGACGAAAGAATGGTTCTTAGTCCTTGGAGGGAGTGATGACTTGAAGGTGCGAGGGTATAGTGATGCTAGTTTTCAGACCGATAGGGACAACTACCGTTCGCAGTCGAGCTGGGTCTTTACCCTAAACGGAGGAGCAGTAACTTGGAAGAGTTCCAAGCAAGAAACCGTAGCTGATTCAACGTGCGAATCAGAGTACATCGCAGAGAGCAAAGCGTCGAAGGAGGCAATATGGCTAAAGAACTTCATTGGTGATCTTGGAGTTGTGCCTGCCATAAAGGAGCCCATGGAGATTTTCTGTGATAACGAAGGTGCGGTTGCCTTGACCAAGGAACTGAGGGATCATGGTAGATCTCGACATATCGACAGAAAATATCACTTCATTAGACATCGTGTAGAAGAAGGACAACTCATAGTTAAGAGGATATCATCAGAGGATAACCCAGCAGATCCGCTTACGAAGGGACTGAGTAGGGTTAAGCACTTGCAGCATGCTAGGAGTATTGGGCTGAAGGATGATATTAGTATAGATTAGATAGTATTTAGAAACGTATAATAGATAAATGTAATTAACATTTGATGATTAAATAAAGGAGTATTATTTATAAGTAAAGTTACTGTCATATGTTAATTGTTTAACTATTGTTTCACTTTGCATGTTTTGACTTCCAAAATAATTGAGTTTATTAGGAATAATCGAATTATTCAAATTGTCCACAATCGTTCATATGTTGGAAGTAGATATGAATAAAGATTGTCATGAATTGGTGTGTAGATTGTCTAAATGGTGTTAGACATAGCAAGGGTTGCTGCAACGTTCATGAGTGCTTATGAACTGGTTTTGAGCATTGGAATAAAACCCGCGCTTGCTGGAATCACTTTAT